TACCACCACCAGCATGATAAGCTTCCCACATAGCATCCACCATCGCCCCCTCCATCCCCTCCCCATCCATCATCCCCCCATGCGCCAACCCCCTATGCGCCAACCTCCCATGCGCCAACCCCCCATGCGCCATGCCCCCATGCGCCATGCCCCCATGCCCCACCCCCCCCTCCCTCTCCTCCCACTTCCCCCCTGCCGTAAGCGCCAGCCCGCGCAACTCCTCCTCTTCAACCGCTTCCGGCGCTTTACTAAAGGCCGCGCTTAGCCCAGCCTGCACTGAAGACCCGCCAGCAACGGCAGCAGGCTCGGCGGTAGGTCCGGGATCCGAACCTACAGGGACAGGCAATCCCCGAGGCTGCCCAGGAATCGCTCCAGCTGCAGCAGCAACGGTAGAAGCAGCAGCAGGAGGAGGAGCCGCAGCAGCTGCAGGGCCGGCGTGTGAGCTGGTAACCAGGTAACCGCGAGGGTGATGCGGATGAGCGAAGGACTGATGGCTGGTAATGGCGGCAGGGGAGGATAAGGTGGTGGTGGCGGTTGCGGAGGTGCCTTGGGGGGACGTGGGGGAGAGAATGGACAGCTCAGATTGGCTGTGCGCAGATCGGAGGGCTGGGGTGAGTCCTTGAGATAGCGGTTCAGTAAGGCCGTGATAGACTGGCGCGCCCTCCTGGTCTAGGTAGCGCCTGCAGGGGGGAATGGGGGAAGGGGGGGAATGAGGTTGAGAAGGGGGAGGAGTGAGTGAGAGGCTATGAGAGAGCCAGTGGAGCGGCGAGGGAGGAGAGTGGGGGGGTGAGTGGGGAAGGGGATAATGGGGGAAGGGGGGAGGGGGTAAGGGGGAGCGAGCGGGTGAGAGAGAGGTCGAAGGGTGAAAAGGATCACTTTTTAAGGAGGGATAAGTGGATCAGTTATTATGAAGGGGAGTGGATTACTTTTTAAGGAGGATGAAGCGGTTGCAGCAGGCCTTGTTGTCGCGGTGAGGCAGCCTCCCCGACGCCTTGAGCACGCCCCAGTGCCGCGTGCCGTAGCTGCGCACGTGATCCAATAAAATCAAATCCTCCTGCGCAGGGGAAGGCGCGGAGGGAAGGGTGGGCAAGAGAAGGGGGGAGACGGGGGAGAGGGACAGGGTGAACGGGAAAGCAGTCAGCAGGAGGCGCTTAAGGAAGTATGGCTCGAAAAGTGTGGTTAAATTCAAAAGGGCGCGGAAATGAGGCGATGTTACCGTGCGCGGGAATGGGGCGCCGCGCGCGAGGAAATGGGGCGGCACTATCACGCGCGCGGGAATGCGGCGGCAGTAAGTTACCTCGGGCGACCACCAGCGTGAGTAGCTCCCCGTTGCCCCGGGCTCTGCGCCGCCGATCGCGCTGTCCCCCGTCGGCTCGCGCGCCCCTTGAGGCGACTCCGCTTCCGCCGATCGCGGCAATGGTGACGGCTTGAAGGCTGCACCCCCCGCCGTCGCCGCCGCAAGCGCCGCTGCTGCGTCGGCGCGGTCGTCGCGCGGTGCTCGACCGCCAAAAGCCGTCGCTGTCGCCGCATTTCCCGCCGACATTATCGCAGCAACGTCGCTAGTACCGAAGCGGGTCGCAGCGATCATCGCATCGCCTCGCCACTCGACTATCCGTCAGACGTATTTGCTCGATGGAACCGCCGCCGTCGCTGTCGCCGTCACCGCCGAGTCGCCGTTGCGGTCGCGACGCCGTCGCTTTCGCTGAAACCGTCGCCGTCGCTACGGCAGAGAACGATTTGATTTCCCCGAGCGACGCTTCGAGAATGTCAATTTGAACGACAAATCCAATGTCGCTTCGCAAGCGACATTGGAATGCGCCTCAGGCCTGCCTCTCAGAGACCTCCTTTGATCGAACCAACGGTATCCGCAGTCGACGGTCGACTCGATCAAATCAACGGTCGGACTCTATTGTCAGTTGAGCTGGCGTCGCGAGGGCTCTGTCGGGATGTGAGGCCGCGGGACGACTCTGATGAATCGTATGGATCGTGCAAGAAGGCTTACAGTCGGACTGTCGCGCGTGGTGCTACTGTGTTCGCGGCTCGCGGCTTCAGGAGAGGATCCGAAGGAGATGCGCGACGCAAGACGGATGGAAGCGCAATGTCGTTTAAAATGTTGGCGGCGGACAGTAAGAATCTTAGAGCGTGCGCTGCGGTGCCGCAGAGCCCTCGATTTAGCGGATTGCGGCGCGGCTCAGATTTGCGACACGGGGCAGGCGTGCTCATGTACGATGATCGGCGTCGTTATTTCATTCGCCCAGTAAGGGAGTACGCGATGATTCGAACCGACAGGACACTCGGGACGCCGGATGCTCAACAGCTACGACGGGGAGTGCGGGTAACGGTAAACCTGCGGAAATAAAGAGGTGCTGGTTCTTACACGAATTCGAATCGCAGTAGCGACTGACTCGTCTTTCGTTATGTTGGGGGCCCAGGCGTATGACGAAGAGGCGCCAGGTACTAGACGGATGTCGGGAAATGTGAATCGGTGTTGGAAGATCGTCGGCGCTAAAGCTGACATTTGGAGACTACAGAGTTTTCGAGTGGTGGCCTTTGACAACGCGGCGTTTCAATTCACTGTAATAAAAGAATCAGAAGTGGTGGAGAATGTATGTGCACAGCTGGGACGATCTCGTGTGGAAATGCTGAGCAAAGCAAAACAGAGCAGGACAGTAGGGAAGGCAGGAATGGAGCAGTGCAGCGCTAGAGGCAGATTGCTGGCCCGGAAATGGCAGGTTGTGTGGGACTGTGTGGCGTCGAATCGTGGATTTGCAAATGTTGGGGGGGGGGGGGGGGAATGGAAGAGCTTCGAGAGAGATGTTCGGAAGGAGGGAGGAGGGAGAGAATTGGAGGACGGGCCGTGCCGCGTGTGGGATGAATGGGAAGATGTGGGAGATGGGGGAGGAATTGCGCGGGACCGGGAAAATCTGTGGCTGAGCTGGACGGGAGCTCCTTGTTTTGGGCCAGCGCATTTTGAGAAAGTGCAAAGCAGTCAAGAGGGCGCTCAAATTCCGAAATGCGACAATTTTCACAGCTGTGATGCACGCACACGTTTGTTGGAGGGGGTTGGATGGATTACAGCGGCGAAGGATGGGCAAAGAGAATTTCAGAAACTGGCCTGAGGATTTATTTGGAGGGAACATTGGTATTTGTTATGTGCTAATGATTCCGGGCAGTACATAATAAAATGTAGTCTAGGGAGAATAACACACCACCCGGAGTCGTTTGATGAGTCTTGGGGGGAGGAAGACAGACCAGCGGGATTCGATAGCGACGAATGCGGCGACGTTATCTTCCACACATACAAGCCAAGTTGAAGAACCGTCGGATCGGCAAGCCAAGTTCTAGAAAATCTCGCGCGATCAGCTTCATGAAAACAGCTGCAGTTGTGCGAGGACAAAAGATAGGTGATGATCTTGATGACTTGGATGGACAAGGCCTGGCCTTGCTGGCACTTCTGAGATTCTGGTCTGGGCAAAGTGTCGTCCACACCACACGAGAACTGCACTGTTTGTACAGTGCTCCTTAGACACGTTATGCAACAAGAAAGAGCAGCTCAGCAGGGCAGGCATATTACGAAGGCTGCCGATTGGCGGGAGGGTACACCTTTATTCTCGTTAGACTGGCATATGTTATACTGACCGTGACGTTTAGTGTAGCCGCAGTGGACCAAAGAAGGTCCTATCACATGCGTTATACTGACAGTTTGACCCAGGGCGTTTAGTCAAGGTTCTATACGTTCTAAAATGGTAATTCTGTTTTCTAAACGATTAAGACAGTTATTCAGCGTTAACGGAATTTTACGGCCCAAGTCTGGTTTCGTCGCCTCGTGCGACTTGGCCCGCAACAGAGTTAATGCCCTTAATGCCCTGAACATTAAGGGATGAATAGTCCAAAAAAACTAGCCCTTAATGTTCAGGGCATTAAGGGCATATGCCCTTGAATCGACAGGCCTGATTCTGTCCGACCAGAGGTGGAAGAAGAATATTCGTTTCTTCTCGCCTCGCATCGCAGGGTCAGCGTTAAAAAATTCGACTGTAATATGGTATACAGGTTAGCACTGTACTTCCCAATCATTCAGGTTAGAGAATTCCTCGAGCTGAATGCAGGAGGGATAGTGTACAGTTCTCAATTCTGCCCAATTATGCTTCATAGAATATTGTTTTCGAACATGGAGAATCAATACACAGGATCTCCTTTGCTACTCACATAGACGCGTCCATTTTCTTGAGCAATCCCGCAATGCCAAATGGCAGTCATCGATTTGTTCATTTTGAATTGCGAGTGTGGCTTTTGCTTCCAATCGCGAACAGCCTGCCAAGAGCTTGGCGGGGAAGGCTTGTTCCTGTATTCGTTTTAAACTGCCCTGGGTGCACCACACCATCTCGTCACCCTTTTGGACCGTCTGAATTAAACAGCTCAACCACATGAAAAGAACTAAAATCATATCGAGGCTGGCACCACAAGGAAGGTAGCTGTATAAACTCCAATACCTTCTCCGGACCATCGACGGAGCCTCGGAGCGTCCGAGCCGTAGAATTTAGCGTGCTGGTGACGCATCCCCTCAGCTCTGCTTCTCCTAGAGCTTCGCCTCTATCCTCTTTCAGGTCAGTCAACACAGGCATTACACTTGTCATGTATGGGGGAATCAGCTGCGTTTCTTGATTGTTAGTCGTCCTCGCCGCTGCGAATAAAGCTGACGTGAGAGAACTGTAGCATTACTTGCCGTAAAGCGAGACGTTGGTGACGGTGGGACGAAATCGGGCATTGCTTGCTGGCAGCAGCAGCATGAGCGATAGTACACGCGAAAGGTACCCATGGCTGTGGGCGGGAGCCTCAAGCGCGAGGCCGACAGCATTTCGCGACGGGATCAAGAAACTCCACGACTTCAGTGACGTCCTTTTTTAGCGAGTCAAGGAGCTTTCTTGTGCTATTAGCGAGGAAAAGAGTAGCACTGCGTGAGTGCAAAAAGGCAGGACATTTTTTCGACCGTCACGGGCAGCATGGAAAATGTCGAGTATTTTCACGAGAAGCTTCTCCTGCCCGACGAGGAGTTCGCGCTCCTAGAAGCGGCAGTGGCGGCCGCGGAGCGGGAAGCGGCTGCGCGGAGAGCTGCGCGGGCGGGTAGCTCCGCGGAGATAGTGGTGGAACATCCGCGGGTGGACAGGTCGGCGGAGGCCGGGAGGGAATCCGCGCACACGCGGAACGATGCGTGTGGGCGCGGGGACAGGATCGAGTCTGCGGGAAGCAGCGCGGAGGCGTCGTCGCGGCAGCTGGTGTTTTCAGAGTCAACTCATAAGTCGCTTTACGCATGGATGCGACCAGAGACGCTTTTTGAGGCGCCTCGACATCCCGACGCGCCTTTTCAGGCTCCTCAAATGGCGGAGCCTGTGACAAGGAGGTCCCTTTTTCCGGACATTGAGGACGTGTCGAGTCTCGATGCGCTGCCAGCGGAATGGACACGTGGCGTTGCTGGAGGCGCAGGCGCTGATGGGTGTTCGAGGGAGCGCGAGGAAGGAATGGAGGCTTGGGGAATGAGTACAGAGGCTTGGGTAACGGGTTCAGAGGAGAGGGGAACGAAAGAAGAGGGGCGGGAAGCTAAGGAAGGGGCGCTGGAGGTTCGGGCAAGGCACGTGGCACGGCGGCCGTTGGATTGCAAGCGGAATCAACGGCTGTCCGTGACAGATATAACAGACGCGGTACTATACTCCTACGTGCCTGTTCCATCCCGTCAAGTTCTCGGTATCCACTTGCTCTCCTTTTCTAACAACTTTTTTTTTTCAACTATTCATCCACTCGCCCATTCTCCCACTCACCCATTCCCCCGTTCCCCCATCCGTCGCTGCTCGCAGGAGTGGTGTGAGCAGCGGGTGCTGTTCTCTCTCGCCTGCGGCAAACCCCCGCCAACAGCAGCGATGAGGGCGGGCGCGGAGAGGCACGCAGCGTTGGAGCGGGAGGTGGTGGAAGCAGTAGAGGTGGCCGTGGCAGCCAGGGAGGACGCGTGGGCGCTCAGACTGCTGGGGGCGGCTGCTAGAGTCCTGGCCCTGGGGGAGGGTATGAGGGAGGCGATGGGGGTTGCCATGGGGAGGGAGGATGGAGGAGTGGGGCCCTTTGGTGGTGATGCTGCCGGCATAACGCGAGAAGTCTTTGTGTGAGTGTCTCCTGCCCTGGCCCTTGCCCACTGCCTGTTGCTTCATCACCTCCTGCTGCTGCTCCTCCTCCTCCTGCTGCTGCTGTCTGATTACCCAACCAGCGAGCACATGTCTGTTGCTCCTACCGTCGAATCCCGCCATGCTCAGGTTGGGCAGGGTGCATGGCGTGTGGGTGGTGGGCGTGATTGATGAGCTGCGACTCGTGCGCCCTGGAGTTGCTGCAGCAGAAGACAGCGAGGGGATTGCAAGGAGCGCTGGCAGTCAAACAAGTCAAACAGCCAAAACAGGACAGACAGTTAGTCAGACAGGTCAAGCAGGTCAAACAGGTCAAACAGGACAGGCAGGTCAGACGGGCAAACCGAGCCATACAAGTCCTGTGAAAAGGAAATCTGGGTGCATGAGGACCGACGGATCACAGCCGTTAGATTCACAGCGGTTGGGCTCGCAGCTGTTAGATCCCCAGCCTTTGGAATCACAGCCGTTGGATTCACAGCCGATGATTTCAGGGTGCTCAACGGGATATGGTTCTGATTCACAGGCGATCAACTCCCAGTCATCCGATGTGTCCATGCAGCACGCATCACAACCTGATTCCACTAGAAACCCCCACATAGATGGGGCCATTACGGAAGGTGGGGGGGGGGGCGAGGAGGGCTGTGGAGAGGGTGGCAGGGAGGGAGGTGGGGAGGGAGGCATGGAAGGAGGCGGAGAGCACGGGGGCGGGTGGTGTGTGATGGTGGTGGACACCAAGACTCGTGTGCGGCCCCGCCCACCGAGAGCAGCGCAGAGCAGGAATGCCAGGTGGGCTTGTATGCAGGAGGGGGTGGGTGTGGGCGTGGGAAGGGAGGGCGGGAGCGGGTGGCGTGTGTGTGATGGTGGTGGACACCAAGACCCGCGTGCGGCCCCGGCCACCGAGAGCAGCGCAGAGCAGGAATGCCAGGTGGGGGGAGAAGACAGGTCGCCGTCATTCCTCGCTAGGTGGGCTCGCGCGCACACATGCTCCTGATTGTTTTCTGTATTGCCTTGTTTGCTTGCTCCTGGCTGCACCTCATGAACTCCTCATCCACGGAACTCCTCCTCTGCCCTCCGCCCTCTCTCTCGTGCAGCCTTCACCTCATGTGCTACAGCCGCCCTCCCCCCTCCTTCTTTCTCATCCCCTTTCTCCCGGGTGCAGGCTGCAGCTCATGTGCTACAGTGCGCTGCTGAGCAGCATGATTCGGCACGGCGTGCCTCAGGAGCCATTCTTCTCCTCCTTCCGCCTCCGCCCCCGCACCACCCTCTCTCCCCAAGTCCTCCAACATGCTGCTGAGGTCTTTCCACGGAGAATGGTGTGATTTTGGGGAGATGAGGTTATGGGGGAGGTGTGATATTGGGGAGGTGAGATGTTGGGGAGGTGAGATGTTGGGGAGGTGAGATGTTGGGGAGGTGAGATGTTGGGGTGGTGAGTTGTTGGGGAGGTGAGATGTTGGGGAGATGAGATGTTGGGGAGGTGAGAGGACGAAGGGTGTGGTGTTGTTTGCCGCTGCCTGTAGCCTCGGTGTGTCTTGTGTCTGCTGTCTTGTGTCCCATTTAGATCGAGCTTTTAGACGACTCAAAATCACCCTGCCTGTGGCCTCGGTGTGTCTTGTGTCTGCTCTCTTGTGTCCCGTTGTTCAGATCACTTGCCTTGCTGACGTCACGGCCGCAGTCTCTCACGCCTTCCAGTCACTGCAGCCGCTGCACTCCACCCTCCTTCTACGGTATGCAGACAGTATGGTAGCCTTGTCACGTCAATTCCTAGCATATGTTTTCCTTGCAATGCCATGCATGTCTGCACGACAGTCACAGTCACAGTCACAGCCAGTCTCCTCTCCCACGAGCGCCTGGAAATCACTCTCCTCTGAGTTGCTCCTCGGGTTGCTTTTCGCCGTGTTGCTGCTCGTTTGCAGGTACGAGTGGCAGGCGGATGGCTCACTCATTCACGAGGACCACTTCCCCTACGATCCCCCCTGGCTGCAAGCTAGCATCTCCACGAGCCTCGAGTTCTGGCTTGGGCGCCGCCAACCCTTCACCGTGCCTCGTGAAGAGGCTTGGAAATGCTCCTGGTGCTCGTTTGCTCCAGTTTGTCGCCCGGATTTGAGGTGGAAGGGACAAGCAGGAAATGGAGCACGTGGCTAGCCTGGGCTTTGTGTGTATGCTCAAGGATATCATCGCAGAACAACATGGCCACTCATTCGAGCCAACTAGCTAATGCTTGTAAATGCCGCAGGTAATTTGCATGTATGATTCCATGTATCAAGGATGTTAATGTACAGTAACTGCGTTGACCAAGACAGTAGCCCTAGTAAGGTGCTAAACATGCACACTTAATCTCCAATAGTACAATAAGCACATCGCTGAAGGGATGTGAGGTGTAGTGGTTCTGATATACGATGCTATATTGTTGTGAATCTGACTTGTGGTGGCGAGTGCATCAATGACGTCACGCGCCACTTCAGATTGGTTGAGGACTCCACTGATTTCGCACGCTTCGTGCACCAATCACCCTCGCCCTGATGCATTCCCAAGGGCCACCTGGTAGTACACCTGCGCTTTGGCATTCCGCAAATCAAGGCGCCCATCCACCCTCCCTCGAGCTTTCCATGCCTCCACCTCGAATCGCTCGCACACCTGCCTCTGTTTGTGCACCTTCCCCACCCCAGCTCTCCGCCACACCCTCTTTCTCCTCCGCTTCGTCCTGCGATCTCCGCTTTCCGCCATGATTTAATTTTCAGGGGAGCTGCTGTCTTGTTCGTAGCACTTGGTTTGCTTCTCCAAGTACATCCGTCATCACTTCCAGATGCAACAAACCGAACATAACCGTGGTATATCCCCAGAGAACAAACATCCTTACACCTTCTGAATTGCTGAATTCGCCCCAAGATTTCCACCATCCCAGTAGGGGCGTAGGGTCGAAGAATCTCGTCGTCAGTATCGTCACCGTGAGCGCATCGGCTCCCTCCGCGAGTCGGCTAATGCCACTGGGCTGAAGTAGACTCTATTGACGCGTCAGCTCGTGCTCTTTTCCGATGGAATCGTCGGCTCTCAGTCCCGGTTCGTTATGCAGCACAACGTAATGGCATAGCAGCTGGCCTAGCAAGCGATCTACAATAACGTAGTCATTCGTCGAAACAGATCGACGGAGGCAGCGCCTCCGCCTATCCCGTCTTCGTCTCCTCCTCTCATCTAATCACACTTGCAAGATCAGCATCTCGCAGCCATGGGTGTTCTGGACCGGACGAAGAAGGGCGACCAGAACAAAGGTGTGTCCATCGGGGATGCCATTTCTTTCGACACTGTTTAACACATTCAAGAAAATGTCTTCGATATCCACCTTTCGGCTTTGCCATCCACGCTTGGTCCAGGCTAAGTTGATTAATGTGTCAATGCAACCAGCTGATTGTTTGACCATAAATCTTTACTCCCACAAACGAGGCGACAATGCGACTCGAACCAGCGGAAAATGGACCTTATCATCTGCGCGCGAACATACGGTTTTTTTATTGGAATGATAAGTTTTTGCATGGCCACGTGGCATGCGCAGGCGGTAAGACGGTGGAGATGGGCGAAACGGGCGCGTGGCAGGCGGGCGGATTCGGCATCGACCCTGACGAACTCTCGCGAATGTCGCATCCGGGCGACTTCGCGAAATTGCAGTCCCTAGGAGGAGTGAGTGGTCGTTGGTGTGTCTGTGTGTTCACGTGAGTGCGTGTGTGCGTCTGTGTGTGCGCGCGCGTTTACGACGTGTGTGGGGCAAGCAGAAGCTAGTTTCAGATACCCCCTCTCGTCATGCGAGTCACGCCGCAACATATCCCCCTTCATCCATCCCCACACTGCACCCACCCGAGCTCCGCTTCCCCTCCAACCTTCCCCTCTCCAAACATCCCCACTTCTCCCTAACCTCCCCGGGCCGCTTGGCCGCAGGTGGATCCGCGGAGGGGCATCAGCGGCACGGAGGAGGACATTGCTCGATTCATGAGCTAGAGGATTCCCCCCTCTTTTCCCCCATACCGCACCCCTCTACAAACCTCTCCACCCCTCTCCAACCCCCCGGACTGCCATGGCAGCTAGGGGGCGTGGCGGAGCGGCTACAGGTGGACCCGCGGCGGGGCATCAGCGGCACGGACGAGGACATTGCGCGCCGCCAGCTGCACTTCGGAGCCAACACGTACCCCGAGAAGCCCGGCAAGACCTTCTGGGTACGCGCCTGAATCAGGGGTCACTCAGTGTGGTTCAGTGTGGTTCAACGGGCCAACGATCAGTGGGTCAGTGTGGCCCACTTTGGCGCCAAGCCAACACGTACCCTGAGAAGCCCGGCAAGACCTTCTGGTTACGTGCCTGCGGGTCAGGGGTAGGCGGTTAGTGTCTGTGGCAGTGGCCAGTGTGGAGTGGGTCAGTGGAAGGGAGGGAGCACAAAGACGCACGTTGAACCCAAAGCCTTAAACCCAGACTCATGTGCCCCCGCTGCTCGCTTCCCTGTGCGGCCCACCCTATGCCCCTCCGCCCTAAGCTTCTCCATTCTCTTTTCCCCCTTATGCCCATCCCGGCAGTACTTGGTGTGGGAAGCCATACAGGACAAGTTGGTGCAGCAGTGCAGATCCTCTTAGTGTGTGCCAACCAGTGACCCGTCTCGCTTTACACACACTGCAAACATCCTCCCCTACTCTCCCCTCCTCCCCTCCCCAACCCAACAGTACTTCGTGTGGGAGGCGATGCAGGACACATTAGTGCAGATCCTGTTTGTGTGTGCCATAGCGTCCATCGCCGTGAGCATCCCTGCAGAGGGTTCCCTGGAGGGGCTGTACGACGGGCTGGGCATCTTCATCGCGCTCTTCCTCATCATCACCGTTGCTGGTAGGCACTGTCGCTGGTAACGCACACAAGCCTTCACTTGTCACACCATCGGTGGTTCGCACTGCTGCTGCACACCCACTGGGCTCCCTGGAGGGGCTGTACGATGGGCTGGGCATCTTCATCGCTCTCTTCCTCATCATCACTGTTGCTGGTAGGTAACACACGGACACACACTCATACATCCGCACGTGTCACTTGCTGCCAGTGAGCCCGCTGGTACCGCCCTCTCTCCCTTCTTACAGCTCCTCCGCTTCCCCCGTCATCCCCCTGCATGCATCACTATCGCCTCTGCATCTCTCACTTTGGCTTCTCCATCACTCTCCACCCATTTCGTGTGTTCCCCTTCAACCCCCCTGCGTGCGCCCGTGTGTGGTGAGCAGCGATAAGCAACTACCGGCAGGCACTGCAGTTCCAGAAGCTCAACCGCGAGAAGCAGAAGATTCAGATCGAGGTGAGCGGTGCTGCAATGTCGCGCACCCAAATCAGCCTCCGGTGGTATCATCCATGTTACCATCTCGCCCTATTGTGCCCTCCTGCTGCTGCACACCTCACCCTCACATGCCCTCCACTCCACCATCGCTTCATCCCCTCTGCTCCACCCCCCTCTCCTCCATACCAACCCTTATATGGCCCTCTACATGCGTATGCCCCTATGCACGTGCACCGGTACACCCTACGTCCCATCCTGCGCCACCTGCAGGTGACGCGGTCAGGGCGGCGCTGCAAGGTGTGGATAGACGACCTGGTGGTGGGGGACATCATCCACCTCTCCACGGGTGACCATGTGAGTGCCTTGCCATGCTTCTCTAGCCTTGTATCCGCCTCTCTCCCATGGCATCCTTTGCTCTCAACCTTGGCGCTGCACGGTGCTGATAGACCACCTGGTGCTGTAGTCTTGAGAATATCAAGTCATTTCATGCCTGCCTCAAAAGAACGCCAAACGCGATGCTTCCTAAATGCTGTGCACTCTCTCCTCTCCTGTGCAACGACATGGGTATACGGGCACATGGCAACAGGTACCAACGGACGGGGTGGTGATGGAGGGGCATTCGTTGGCAGTCAACGAGTCGAGCATCACAGGGGAGTCAGAGAACGTGAGCGCTGCCCTTTTGGGTGCTGCCGTGATGTAGTGCCACCCTTTTCAGTGCTGCCGTGATGTAGTGCCACCCTTTTCAGTGCTGCCGTTTGAGTGCCGTGCTTTTGAGAGGCTGCCCCGCCTTGGGCCTGCCAGAACGTGAGTGCTGTCTGCCATGGCCCTCCTTTCTTTGGCTTCTGGTTGGATACCAACATTTGCATTGACATCTGCTGCCAGTGAAACCAACAACGCACTGACGCCCTGTGCCATTGCATGTCGTGCTGCGGCGTGCTGTGCTGTGCTGTGCTGTGCTGTGGTATTCTATGGTACAGATGCACAAGGACGAAGCCAACCCTTTCATTCTCGCTGGCTGCACCATCATGGATGGATTCGGCGAGATGATGGTGAGACGCTGTTGGGGGGTTGTTTGTTACCAGGTGTTCACAGGGAGACGCTGTTGGGGGGTTGTTTGTTACCAGGTGTTCACAGGGAGACGCTGTTGGGGGGTTGTTTGTTACCAGGTGTTCACAGGGAGACGCCGCTGAACCGGTTCCAGTCAAACCGTCAGGATCTCAACCATGTATGGCAAACTTCAAACCTCTGGTCCCTCGCATTTGGTTAGTCTCGAACCGAACCAGTTCAGTTCATGCAACTCTTTGAAGGCCACTTCGAGTTTGGTTGTTGCTCATGCCCACCTGCTACCTTGCCTGCCTCTGTGTGTGCCTCTGTGTGTGCCTCTGTGTGTGCCTCTGTGTGTGCCTCTGTGTGTGCCTCTGTGTGTGCCTCTGTGTGTGCCTGTGTGTGTGCCTGTGTGTATGCCTGTGTGTGTGCCTGTGTGTGTGCCTGTGTGTGTGCCTGTGTGTGTGCCTGTGTGTGTGCCTGTGTGTGTGCCTGTGTGTGTGCCTGTGTGTGTGCATGCGTACGGGCATGCGTGCATGGTGAGCAGGTGACGGCGGTGGGAATGAGGACGGAGTGGGGCAAGGTGCTGGCGACCATCACAGAGGACAGCGACGAGCCCACACCACTGCAGGTTAGTTCGTTGGGGGTGTGGTGGGCAGAGGGAGAGGTGCAGAAGAGAGATCAACAGGTAATAGTTGCACGCTGCTGCAGGTGAGTGGGGCAAGCTGCTAGCGACCATCACTGAGGACAGCAACGAGCCCACGCTGCTGCAGGTTAATGGGGTGTGAGGTGGTCCTAGACCACGCCGCTGCAGGTTAATGGGGTGTGAGGTGGTCCTAGACCACGCCGCTGCAGGTTAATGGGGTGTGAGGTGGTCCTAGACCACGCCGCTGCAGATTGGCGATTGTGAGGCGGCCATAGAGCACCTGTTGAGAAGTCAAGAAAATGCGGAGAAGAATCGCTCACTGGTAAGGGAGAGGCAGAGCAGCAGTGCAGGCAGAGTAGCAATGCTTGCATCTCTAGTAAGGTGATACAGCCAGGTTGCTATGTGTTTCAAATCCTTGTGTGTCCCCCCTCTGCCCTGCCCACCACTAGGTGCGGCTGACCAAGGTGGCAGAGCTGCTGGGCGTCATGGGCAATGCTTTTGAGGTGGCATGGCACAGTCAGCTCGCTGCAGTTCAGATCCTACAAACTCCCCCCTCCCCGTTCCCCTTCGTGCACCACCAGGTGCGGCTGACCAAGGTGGCAGAGCTGCTGGGCATCATGGGCATCGCTGTGGGCGTGCTCATCTTCCTCATCCTCAGTATCAGGTGCGCTCTTACTCGGTGTAAGGTGTTGCTCTGCTCATCACGGTGCCTTTTGTACTCAATATGTAGGCATGTTGCACACTCGGAAGAGGCGTATACAGTGTAGGACACCAGACACGTATGGTGCATTTTATGGTTCTCAGGAGGAGCCTAATTGGATTCTAAAAAACGCCACACCATCCCATGCGACACCACACCACACCACACCACACCGCGCCCCGTAGGTACCTGGTGACGGATGCTGACTTCAGCAACTTCACTGCCGATGACGTCAGCGTGCTGCTCAGCTACTTCACCATCGCGGTATGCCTGCCTGCCACCATCCCGCAACCACTCACTCTCGTATTGCCATCAAGTGCAGTGTGCTCGCACTGCAAGCGCTGCGATATTGAATTGCAGCACTGCAACATGGCACAGCACTGCAACATGGCACAGCACTGCAACATGGCACAGCACTGCAACATGGCACTGCACTGCAACATGGCACAGCACTGCAACATGGCACAGCACTGCAACATGGCACTGCACTGCAACATGGCACAGCACTGCAACATGGCACTGCACTGCAACATGGCACTGCACTGCAACATGGCACAGCACTGCAACATGGCACAGCACTGCAACATGGCACTGCACTGCAACATGGCACAGCACTGCAACATGGCACTGCACTCAGCTACGTCACCATCGCAACACGCTCTCGTCCATCCCTCAACCACTCACTCTCACATCGCCACCCATTGCTGTATGTTCGCACTCCACCCTGCAACATGGTACATCGCTCACTGCAATGTCTGTCCTCCTGTCCGTCCCTCTCCATGCCTCTCTCCGTCCTCTCATCCGCCCCCATCAGATCACAGTGCTGGTCATTGCAGTGCCAGAAGGCCTTCCCCTTGCTGTCACTCTCACGTAAGCTCAAGAGCATTTCTAAGAACGGTCATTTGCACTGCCTGTATAGCTCACTCTCCTGCTCACGCACCATCCTTCCTCCTCCACGCCTTTCCTCTCACACTTCTTTCCTCCATCCTCCCCTGCTCCACCACCTGTACCCTGCTCCCCCCACCTGTACCTGCATACCAGTCTGGCCTTTTCAGTGACCAAGATGATGGAAGATAACTCGCTGGTGAGCTCACACTCACGCCTCTCTCTCGTTTCCCCCGCTGTTCATGCCTGCTGTTTCCTGCTCTTTCTTCTCTGCTATGCTGTGCTACTGTTGGTATGATGCTAATGCTGTGTCATGTACACCTCACCGCATATCGACACATGTATGCCCTGCATTATTGGAGTGACTTTTGAGAATTCTCAAAAGACCGCACTGCATATCGACACATGTATGCCCTGCATTGCATCGTGTGCTGCCCATCATCCCCACCAGGTGCGGCATCTGCAGTCGTGTGAGACCATGGGGTGTGCTACCACCATCTGCAGTGACAAGACCGGCACGCTCACTCTCAACGAGGTGAATTCTTGCCCTCTGTTTCCCCTTGCTTGCCACACTCCCGTACTCTCAAACATTACCTGGTTGCACGTGGTGAGTGCTCCCACTGACCCTTCTTGTGCATGCTCCCTCTGTGCTGCTCTGGTTCTTTCTCACCTTCTCCTGCACCTCCTATTCTATGCCACCTCTCACTTCCTCCCTCCTGCCTCCCATTCTCTCGCACCTTCTCTTGCACCAGTCGTTCTATCTCAGGTCCCTCTCCCACTCCCTCTCTCACATCTCCCATGTTCGTCCTCTCCCCCTCTCCCCACACACAGATGACAGTGGTGCAGGCGTGGGTTGCGGGCGACTTTCATAAGCCCCACACCGTCCGCACTGGCGTCTCCACACCCGTCGCTCAGGTATGCCAGCCTCAGGTATGCCTGCCTCAGGTATGCCTGCCTCAGGTACGCCTGCCTCTGGTACGCCTGCCTCAGGTACGCATATGCCTTGAGTACACCAATGCCTCAGGTACACAACTACCTCAGATATGCCTTGTCTGTAGCGGCCGTAGCTACTGGTCCCTAGCTAATAGTCCGTCCTGCCTCTCGCCCTCTGGCTGCATATCAGCCCCGGGGGTGCCAACACCACCGGGGGGCTGTGCTCTCAGACACACGCCTCTCACCCTGATACGCTCCCCTCCCCCCCCGCCATGCGTGTGTCCACTGTCCCCACAGCTTCTCTACCAGGCCATTGCAGTCAACACCAGTGGATCCGTCGATGAGCCGCCGGTACCCTCCCTCCTCTTCACCTCGCGCTCCTCCTCGCCTTTCCCTCCTCCTCGCCTTTCCCTCCTCCTCGCCTTTCCCTCCTCCTCGCCTTTCCCTCCTCCTCGCCTTTCCCTCCTCCTCGCCTTTCCCTCCTCCTCGCCTTTCCCTCCTCCTCGCCTTTCCCTCCTCCTCGCCTTTCCCTCCTCCTCGCCTTTCCCTCCTCCTCGCCTTTCCCTCCTCCTCGCCTTTCCCTCCTCCTCGCCTTTCCCTCCTCCTCGCCTTTCCCTCCTCCTCGCCTTTCCCTCCTCCTCGCCTCGCTCTCTTTCTCATATTTCTCCACCTCGCCCCTTTCTCCTCAATCTCTCCCATCCATCCATCCCATCTTGCCATGCTGCTATTCTTGCTGCTCTGCCCACATCGTCTCTCACAGCCCCACTCCTGCCTCACCTCAACCCTTCACCCCTCATTGTTCACCCCCCCCTCTTACTCCCGCTGCATCCTCGCTCCTCCTCCTCCTACTCCGGTTTTCTCCCCCGGCCTAATCTCTCTCCCTCTGCCTTTCTCCCTCCTCCCCATTCCATGTGCTGCCACGTGGAAGGAGCAGGGCATGCCACCTGTCATCAGCGGCAGCCCCACAGAAAAGGCCATCCTTGCCTGGGGAGTCTCGGTAAGACATCCCTGCCACCCTCCTCCCTCGGTATGCTGGATTTACTCCTGAGAAATCTGAAGTTTGCCACTCGCCCCATCCACCCCCCTCCCATGTTACACACTCTTGAGATTTTTAAGAAATGCCGCCCTTAAGCTCCGATGCTGCGAGGTGCTGGCAATGCAGCCCTTAAGCTCCGATGCTGCCGTGTCTTGTGCTAACCATTCCCCTCCCCCTGCGCCCTTTCATTCCCCTCCACCAGTTCGGCATGCGCTTCCACGAGACCAAGGAGCAGTGCGAGGTGGTGGCGGTGCAGCCCTTCAGCTCCACGCGCAAGCGCATGGGCGTGCTCATCCGCACCTCCTCCTCCCCCTCCACCGACTCTCTCACCGCTTCCCCCACCACCGCCACCACCGGCAGCACCAGCAGCACAGGAACCGCGGGAAGCACCACTCCTGGGAGCCTGCGCGTGCACTGGAAGGGCGCAGCAGAGGTGGTGCTGCAGCACTGCGGGCACTACGTGAACTCCCTCGGCAGCATCGTGCCTCTCACCGAACCCAAGCGCATGGAGCTAGAGAGAGCTCTTGGAGACATGGGAAAAGAGGCTCTGCGCACGCTGGGGTTTGCGTTTCGGGACTTTGACAAACGGACAGGGGTGGAGGGGATGCCGAAGAGAGAGGACGGCAGCGTGGGGGTACCAGAGGACGATCTAGTTTATGTGGGGTTTGTTGGGATTAAGGACCCGTGTAGGGTTGAGGTGCCGGATTCGGTGCAGCACTGCCAGAACGCGGGGATTGTGGTGCGCATGGTGACGGGGGATAGTGTGGAGACGGCCACGGCGATTGCCACCGAGTGCGGGATCCTCACGGCGGGCGGCACTGTCATGGACGGCACGCAGTTCCGCGCCATCCATGAGAACGACCTCCCCGCAACTGTTGACCGCCTGCAGGTGGGACTTAGGGTGCAAGGGGGTTGCAGATGTGCAGGTGGGACTTAGGGTGCAAGGGGGTTGCAGATGTGCAGGTGGGACTTAGGGTGCAAGGGGGTTGCAGATGTGCAGGTGGGACTTAGGGTGCAAGGGGGTTGCAGATGTGCAGGTGGGCAGCGGTTCCATATCGTCATCTCCTCATCCCCCCTCCCCCTCCCTCTTCCTCTGTGTTTCACGATTGACTGAATCCTCCCCACCTCCTTGCACCAAACCTCCTCCTTCCCGCCCCATGCCATGCAGTCCCCTGCATCAGGTGCTGGCGCGTGCATCACCCACGGACAAGCTGCAGCCGGTGCGTGCACTCAAGGAGATGTTTGAGTCCGCTCACTAACATGCTCTCTCGCCCACCATCCCCCGCTTCTTCTCATGTCCTTCACCAGGTGCTTGCACGTGCGTCCCCCACGGACAAGCTACAGCTGGTGCGCGCACTCAAGGAGATGGGACATGTGGTGGCCGTGACAGGTGATGGCACCAACGACGCCCCTGCTCTGCATGAGGTATGTGCGTGTGAGGTGGGTGCATGGGGTGTGTTCATGGGTGGGTCGATGGGTGGATGGGTGTATGTGATATGTGCATGGAGAATTGATGCGTGCATGAGGCATCGATGTGTGCGCTGCCCATGTGGCGCCCCAGCAGCAGCAGCCAGAAATGTGACAGGCATGGGGCAGTGCAGCACGGGCTTGCCAGAGAGAGAGAGTGAGCATCATTCTTCCGTCCTGGGCAACACCTTAATATGCACAACACGTCTCCCCTTCCCCCCCCACCCACACAGGCGGACATAGGCCTGGCCATGGGGCAGTGCGGCACAGAAGTGGCAAAGGAAAGCGCGGACATCATCATCCTGGACGACAACTTTGCATCCATCGTGCGTACCGTCATGTGGGGGCGCTCCGTGTTCGCCAACATTCAGCGCTTCCTGCAGTTCCAGATCACCGTCAACTGCGTGGCACTGACGCTCAACTTCATCTCTGCGGTCGTTACAGGGGATGCGCCTCTCACTGCCGTGCAGGTGAGTAGGGGCGTACTGGCAGTGGGCGTGCTGTGTGCTGCCTTGCATGTGTGTGGGGGCGCTCCGTGTTCGCCAACATACAGCGCTTCCTGCAGTTCCAGATCACAGTCAACTGCGTGGCCCTCACCCTCAACTTCATCTCCACTGTTGTTACAGGGGATGCTCCCCTCACGGCCGTGCAGGTGCGTACCAGCTTTGTTGCTGACAATCGACCATGCACTGTCGAGTCAACTCACTGCATTGCTGGCAGGCAGTTGGGGGCAGTTCAGACACACTGAGTCGACTCAAAGCCCCTGCTCTCCAGATGCTCTGGGTTGAATTGATTCAGGACACACTAGGAGCTCTCGCCCTCGCCACAGAACCACCGTCTGACAATCTACTGGAGCAACCGCCCGTGGGGCGCAGCCAGGAGCTCGTTTTCACCTGCACTGCACCCTCCTCTCTCCCACCCCCTTATTGAACTCCGTCTCCTTTCCCCCCTTGTTTTCCAGATGCTCTGGGTGGACTTGATTCAGGACACGTTAGGAGCGCTCGCTCTCGCCACAGAGCCCCCCTCCGACAAGCTCCTGGAGCAGCCGCCTGTGGGGCGCAGCCAAGGCTTCATTTCCCCTGCACTTCACCCTCCTCCCTTTCTCCTACCAATCTCCAGCTGCTCTGGGTGGACTTGATTCAGGACACGCTAGGGGCGCTCGCTCTCGCCACAAAACCACCGTCTGACAAGCTACTGGAGCAGCCGCCCGTGGGGCGCAGCCAGGAGCTCATTTCCCCTGCCCTGCACCCTTCTCCCTCCCAACCCCTTATTAAACATCTTCTCCTTCCCCCCCTTGTTCTCCAGATGCTCTGGGTGGACTTGATTCAGGACACGCTAGGAGCGCTCGCGCTGGCCACGGAACCGCCCTCCGACAAGCTTCTGGAGCAGCCGCCAGTGGGGCGCAGCCAGGAGCTGGTGTCCGCTGCCATGTGGCGCAACATCATTGGGCAGACGGTGTACCAGCTGTCGCTGCTGTGCGTGCTGTGGTTCAAAGGCATGGACCTGCTGCAGCTGCCCGGGCCCCCGGGCGTGCCGCGGGTGATTGCTAAAGGGGGAGAGGAGATCTCGGAAGGGGAGAAGCAGCTCGTTACCATCATATTCTCCTCATTCGTCTTCATGCAGGTGTGGGGGTCTCAAATTGTGTCTTCATGCAGGTGGGTTGGGGGATGGGTGTGATGGCAATGGGAATGCTGTGCGTGCTGTGGTTCAAAGGCATGCAGCTGCTGCAGCTGCCGGGGCCCCCGGGCGTGCCACGGGTGATTGCCAAATGGGGAGAGGAGATCTCGGAAGGGGAGAAGCAGCTTGTTACCATCATCTTGTCCTCATTCGTCTTCATGCAGGTGAGTTGGGGGGGTGGGTGTGACGACGATGGGATTGACGACTCGTACGTATGGTGCCCATGGGCCATGTATATGGTTCATTGTGGGAGATGATGGGATATGCTTTTCAAGCTCAGGCGCACCTTCCCCTATTGCTCTCCCCCATGTGGCCCACCAGATATTCAACCACCTGAACTCGCGCAAGCTGGACGAGTGGAGCTTCGTGTGGCTGTCAGCACAACCCCTTTATCAATACCGTCTCTCTGCCCTTCCACCTTCACCCCCCCCCCCAACCCCTTACTCCACCGCCGCCCATCAGATATTCAACCAGCTGAACTCGCGCAAGCTGGACGAGTGGAACGTGTTTGAGGGGCTGTGTGGCTCGAATCAGTGTCAGATGCACCTCCACTCATCTCCTCTCCCTGTCCTTCCCCCCCGCGCCCCTCGGCCCATCAGATATTCAACCAGCTGAACTCGCGCAAGCTGGAGGAGTGGAACGTGTTTGAGGGGCTGCTCGTCAACCGCCTCTTCATCCTCATCGTCTCCATTGAGCTCTCCGTGCAGGTCAGTGCAAGCTGGTTATGGTTGGTCAATTTCAGGTTAGTGTGCGCTGCTAGTCAATGCAGGTCAGTGCTAGTCGATGCTGGTCAACGCAAATGAATATTGGTCAATGCAAGTCAGTCCAGGTCAGTAGTGGTCAATGCTGTTTGTTGCTGCACTTACAAAAAGGCTGCTGCTGCTTCAGGGCAACTCACTAACCAAGTGCAGAAACAGGTGCAGCTCAGGTTGCTTGCAACAAGGGCTTTAATGCAATAGATCCAACCAACCTCTGCTTGCACACTCACACTCCCCTCTATCTCATCCTCTCTTGCCCCACACTCCAACCCCCAGGTGCTCCCGATGGAGCTGCCAAGGTCCTTTCTAAAAATATCCACCCTTTTCTCCCCCTCTCCTGCTCTTCCTCTCTCTTGCCCCTCCATTTCTCCAGGTGCTGCTGGTGGAGCTGCTGGGCAAGTTCGCGGGCTGTGTGCGCCTGACGCTGCTGCAGTGGGCGCTCTGCTTCGCCCTGGGGGCTGGATGCGTGCCCTTTGGCATGCTCTCCAAGCTCATCCCCCTGCCAGGTATGCTTCACACTGTATGCATGGTGGGTGGTGGTACACCTCAAAAGCACCTATGGTTCATGCACAGGTAGCACAGGCGTGCTCTCCAGACTCATCCCCCTGCCAGGTACTGCTTCGCATTCTGTGCATGGTGGTACACTACACTTCATGGTACACTGCCATGTTCTGTACACTGCCATGTTCTGTACACTATCTCCAGTTTTGTAATGATGAGACTGATGCTGACTGTTTCCCTCCCCAACACCCCCCTTGCCTTGCTCCATCATTCTATGCAGGGAAACGCCATGCTCGGAAGAAGATACTGTTTGGCAGGAATGCCAACCAGGGCTTTGAGCGCCTCGACGAAGCCCAATGATCAATCGTCTTTAGGGTTAATTGGGATATACCGTGCTAGTCTTACCACAAAGGAGGCTTCAACTGGCCAAGCCTCTTGCGTGCAAATTTTAAATATGTTGGGGTCTGGCAAAATAGGGGAAATAAGTCACTGAAGTTGATGCTGTTTGAATTATGTGATTCGGGCTTCAGCTCTACTCAAATTTGCCAACTATTACCGTATTTGGAACTGTAACAAGAACATCGCAACGTGTTGTTGGGATTGACAGCGCGGTAAGAGCGAACATGCAGATAGCGAGGACGCTTAGGTGGGAGCTTCTTGCTCGTTGCTCGTTGCTCATGCCACTTCAAATTGCTCCCGCGATTCGCGTCATCGACTGCTCCGCCAATTGCTCTTTTACCATCTTTTCATTAGCGGCTAATCCACTTTGCTGCGCAATTATCGCCGTTTCTCGTTCGCGCTCACACACGTAACGCGTCGTGCGATTCGCTGTGATGTCCGCAGCAGCAGCGGCGGGCCGCGCCGTGTGGTTCGACGCGCACTGCCATCTGCAGGACCCGCGCATCGCCGCGCGCGCCGCGCGCATCGTGGGCGACGCGGCCGACGCGGGCGTCCAATGGATGGTCTGCAACGGCACGCATGAGGTCAGCAGTAAAAATGGTGACGTCAGAATCCACAGGAATCGTGTCAGCAGCGGCCATTTAATTCAACCGACGCCTCTTATAGCCTCCCCCGCCTCAGCACCCACCCTTCCAAGAAAAAGATTCTCCTGCTCTCATGCTCCCATGCGCGCCCTCGCCTCCCCCTCCCATGCCCAATGCTTCCCATGCGCGGGCGGGCATCAGGGGGATTGGGATGCAGTGGCCGCCTTTGCTGCTGACTTTTGAGTCAGCTCAAAAGTTCTTACTCCCATGCGCGTCCTCCCATTCCCATGCCCCCATGCTCCCATGCGCGCCCTCCCATTCCCATGCCCCCATGCTCCCATGCACGGGCGGGCGTCAGGGCGACTGGGATGCTGTGGCCGCCATTGCTGCTGCCCACCCTTGCGTCATCCCATCCTTCGGCCTGCACCCATGGTATGTGAGCGTACATGCATGGCGCATGACGAATGGCTCTTGATGCATGAGTCATGGCACATGACGGATGGCTCATACCCCCATGCCCCCATATCCCCGTGCCCACCCCCGTGTCCCAATGCCCCCATGCCCCCATGCCCCCATGCCCCCATGCCCCCATGCCCCCATATCCCCAAGCCCCCCCCGTGCACCCGTGCACGCACCCATGCCCCCACGCCCCCATGCCTGCAGGTACGTGCACTGTCGGTCGGCCCAGTGGCTGCAGCATCTGGAGGAGCGCCTCTCAGCGCATCCCCACGCGGCCATGGGCGAGGTGGGCACTTCATGCACCTGTATTTGAGTCAGACTAAAAAACAGAACGCAGCTCCAGTCCCCGAGGCGGGACTGCAGCTCCAGTCCCCGAGGCGGGACCGCAGCTCCAGTCCCCGAAACTAGTTTACGCAAGGAGGCTTTTCTGAAACAAGGGGTTTTCCAGATCTACGAATTTCACACGTTTTTACCTTTCTGCTCTTGATCCTTTTCCTAAAGCGTCACCAGCACGTAGCAGGCCTTCGACTATGAGTCAGAAAGATCCTTGGGGGAGAAGGCGGGCGGAGGAACGAGGGGGGGAGAGCGGAATGGAATGAAGATACGGCTTGGAATAGCGGCTTGAGTACTTACTGTGCCTTGAAGGGTCAGACCTCTCTCTTGGTCCGCATGCCCCCCATGCCCTGCCCCTCGTCCCACTCCCGCCAGGCAGGCCTGCACTGCAGCAGGAAATCTGGCAACAACGGCAACAGCAGTGGCAGCGGCAGTGGCAGCAGTAACAGGGGGCCGGAGACGGAGGAGCAGGTGGAGGTGACGTGCGAGCAGCAGGTGGAGGTCACTTGCACCGCAGCCAAGGGCCAAACCTCTCCGTTTTTGTCCACCTGCCCTGCACCTCAACCCATCTTCCCCAGGCAGGCTTGCATCGTAGCAGGAAGGCCAGCAGCGGTAGCAGCGGCAGCAGGGGGGCAGCGATGGAGGAGCAGGTGGAGGTGATGTGCGCGCAGCTGCAGCTGGCTCGCCGCTTGCACCGCCCCATCGCCCTGCACTGCGTTCAGGCGTACGGGAACATGCTCACAGCCCTGCAGCAGGTACGGCACTGCAGCAAGAGTGGCACTGCAGCAAGAGTGGCGCTGCAGCAAGAGTGGCGCTGCAGCAAGAGTGGCGCTGCAGCAAGAGTGGCGCTGCAGCAAGAGTGGCGCTGCAGCAAGAGTGGCGCTGCAGCAAGAGTGGCACTGCAGCAAGAGTGGCGCTGCAGCAAGAGTGGCACTGCAGCAAGAGTGGCACTGCAGCAAGAGTGGCGCTGCAGCAAGAGTGGTGCTGCAGCAAGAGTGGTGCTGCAGCAAGAGTGGCGCTGCAGCACGTGTGGCGTTATTGAAACACTGTGCCCCATCGCCCTGCACTTCGTTCAGGCATATGGTTACTTGCGTGAGGCCCTGCAGCAGGTATGACACTGCATCAAGCGTGGCATTACCAACGAACTGCGCCCCATTGCCCTGCACTGCGATCAGGCATATGGTCACATGCTCATTGCCCTGCACTGCGATCAGGCATATGGTCACATGCTCACGGCCGTGCAGCAGGTAACGCGCTTTACGCCCAGCACTGTCCTTTGCATGCATACTGTCATGCCCTTTGTTCCACTCTTACCCCTTGGACCTTACCTCCACCCCCCTCCACGCCTCCCCTCCTCACAGCACAGCCCATTCCCACCATTCTGGTGGGTGAATCATTCTTCATTCCTTGAACGGCCCTCCAGAAATGCCTCCTTGCTCCCATTCCACCCCTCGTACCCGCTCCCTCCCCTCCCCCCTCCCCACAGCACGGCCCATTCCCAGCAGGAGTCATTCTGCATTCATTCAACGGCCCTTCAGAAATGATTTCAGCGCTCGTCTCTCTCAACACCTTCTTCTCCTTCTCCCGCCTCTCCGCCTCCTCGCCCCCCCACAAGCTCTCACACCTGCTGCACCAGGTATGTATGCTCCCCACAACCTCCGCTTCTGCACTGCAGAAACAAATCTCTGAGTCTCTACATCTGCCTCCCAAACCATATGTCTCACGCACCCCTTAGGGGGCTGCTCTCACCCACCCCTTAGGGGGCTGCTCTCACGCACCCTCAAATCCGTGTACCTGTCACCCTCAAATCCGTGTACCTGTCACCCTCAAATCCGTGTACCTGTCACCCTCAAATCCGTGTACCTGGCACCCTCAAATCCGTGTACCTGTCACCCTCAAATCCGTGTACCTGTCACCCTCAAATCCGTGTACCTGTCACCCTCAAATCCGTGTACCTGTCACCTGACCTGTCCCTTACGGGGCTGCTGTCACCCACCCAGCTCACCCACTCTCTCCCCTCTCCATACACCTCCCCCCTGCACCTTTCACCCCCCCAGGTGCCTCTGGATCGCCTCCTACTGGAAACAGACTCACCTGACAGCCTCCCCTCTCCCCCCTGACCCACCTCTTCGTTACTCGCTCGCTCCCACCCTCCTCACTCCTCTCTCTCTCTCCCCTCCACCTTCACCTTTCACCCCCTACCCAGGTGCCTCTGGATCGCCTCCTACTGGAAACAGACTCACCTGACGGCCTCCCCCCTGCCAGGCGCAAGGGGGGGGAGGGCAGCACTGGGAGGGGCGGGGGAGGAGACGGGAAGGCAAGGAGGGGTGGGGATGAGGGGTGCAGGAGGAGGGATTCTCATTCTGAGGCGCAGCAACGAGGGGAGAGTGGAGGAGGCGAGAGGGGCGGCATGGAAGGGGAGAGAGGAGAGGAGAGAGGAGAGGACAGAGGGAAGGAGGGAGGGGGGGAGAGAGGAGAGGAAAGGGCAGAGAGAGGGTCGGGAGAGGCAGAGGAAGAAGGCAGGGGAGAGGTGGAGGGCAGTGGCGATGATTCTGCCTTGAATTCACCAGCTACCATAGGCCTGGTGAGGGCTACCATTGGCCTGGTGAGAGGGCACTGTTGATGAGGCACACTCACACACTTACGCATGCCACACACTCCCATCCCACATGACACACACTCATGCATGGTTAACACTCACACATGACGCAAGCACCATGAGATATGGCTCTAGTCGCCTCTTTTTTTTCTCCCATCTCGCCTTCCCTACTCAATTCTCCCTACTGGCTTCTCCCGTTTTCCCCACTTTCTCCCGTCTCCCTTCTCCCCTTTCCCTTCTTTCTCCTCCCACCTTTCTCCCCCTTGTCTCTCCCCCCCCGCTCCCATCCAGGTGTGTGAGATGGTGGCGAGCAGCATGGGCAGATCGAAGGATGAGGTAGCAGAAGCAGCATTCGCCAATGCTGTTCGACTCTTCTCCTACCCTGGCTCACGTCTTTCTTCTTTGAAGACGCCTAAAACTGAGTAGTTGCAGGCTGCGACTCGCAGCATTTCCGTTTTGAGGTGTCCCTGGCACAACTTACTTTGGTTAGTGTGTCTGCATGTATACACACTTGTAAATAGGGTGCCTAGTTTGTGGATGTGAAAGTCCTGTGGTTAGGGTGCGAGGTTCTTTTGATTTGGGTCAGGTGCTACTGTGGATAGATTGGATTAAAGGGCCTGTGGTTGCTGCTGTTCCCTTTTTAAGTGCTGTGATGCACAAGTGCTTGGGTGCGCAAGCAAGCCCTGTATTAGTGTCCCTGTAGTTAGCGTGCTGGGTGCGCAAGCCCTGTATTACCAGTAGTGTCCCTGTAGTTAGTGTGCCTGGGTGCTAAAGCCCTATATTGAGTGTCCCTGTCCTGTAGTTAGCATGAGGGTGCTCAAGTGTCCCTGTAGTTAGCATGGCATGCCTGGGTGCGCAAGCCCTGTACTTACTGTCCCTTAAGTTAGCATGCCTGGGTGCACAAGCCCTGTATTTCGTATCCTGTCCCTGTAGTTAGCCCTCTATTTGTGTCCATGTAGCTTAGTTAGCGTTCCTTGGTGCGTAAGCCCTGTATTTGGTGTCCCTGAAGTTACCGTGCTTGGGTGCACAACAGGGCCCTAGATATCAGACTTTAGAGTCTGAATCAGAGTCAGTTCAGACTTTTTTTTGGTACCTAGTCTGCACTCTAAGAATTTTTGGTGGGGCCTTGTCTGATGTTTCAGAGTTTTTTTAACATACTTGTCTGTAAATTCAGACTATTTTTAGTAGTGTAGGCTGTGCCTCAGACTTGTATCGGGGGTGCATTCTGAATCCGATAATACAGTGGCAGGGTCCAGCCTGGCGGCGTGGAGCAGTAACCCCGTCAATCACGGGCGGGAACCCACGATTTCGCCAGCGCGACAACGCACAGTTGCGTTGGTACAGCGTTGCTGTAATCCCACCCAATTCTGGCCAATCACGGCTGCGCCGCAGGCAGTGTTGGCAAGATTCCTTGCCAACACATAGCTCGCCACGCACTGCACCTTCGCTGTACACCACGACCATCCACCACACCCCGCCTTCAATGTTGCCAGCGCATAGCTCGCAGCGCGCTGCCACTCTCACGTCACCACGTCCATCCACCCCACCCCACCTTCCCAGTTGCCAACGCAGGGCTCGCACCGCGTTGCTTCTCTCACGTGACTCCATCCATCAACCCCAATCACCCCACCTTCCAAGGATTCACGCCCAGGTGCAGTGCATGCAATGACCTTCTGGGAGATGGGAGGTCCTATTACACGAGGGTTTCTCATCTTCTTCTTGGTCACCGTTCTTGCAGTCTCTCTCATGGCCCGCTCCATTTGCCTGGACTCAAACTAGTGTAGGAGCCCTTGTTTCAGGCTCCCACCTCCTAGCTCGCTACACCTCTGCTCGGCAGGCTCAATGGCAGTTATAGAGGCTGTCGCGGATGGGCCCGACGACGAGGATGATGCAGTCGGTCGCCCAGTATCCGGCCCAGTATCCGACCCTCTCACCGGTTTAGATTTTCTTAGGTCTGTCCTACCGAAGCACAATCCACCTCCAACGCCACCGTCGCAACCTAGCTCGAGCCGCCCACCTATTCCCAGAGACACCACACCTCTGCACGAGGCCGTCACTGAACCACCGACCGCTGCGCAACAGGCGGTGCCCCATGAGGCGTCTGTTGGTGCACCTTCTCGTCCCGCGCCACCGTCGAAGCTGCGGTACCGGCAGTCCACCCTTGGTTGGGCCACTCCGCCTCCTCCATCGACCGTTGTGACTCCTGCGGGCGACGATTCTCCCATGCAGGACAACTCCATGCCCACGCAGGGCAGCCCGAGGCGCACGCAGGACAGCTCAAAGCCCAAATCCGATAATCCTGAGTTGAAATACGAGGAAGCGCATGAGAGATTCAAATCGAAGTGGTCCACCGATTACAGTTGGCTTGTTCTAACTAAGACCTCTTCTGGTGCCCCTTCTTTCAAGTGCAATATTTGCCTGGAGTTTGCGGGATTGAAAGGCAAGTGTGGGCGGCGTACCGAGGGAGCTACAGACGTGCAGACACAGTCATTCAAGAAGCACGAAGGGACGGTGAAGCACCGATTTGCTCTGCAGCGCCAGGAGGATTTGCTGCAGAAGTACGGGCGGCAGCAGCGCATCGACATGCACCCGAAAGCGCAAGACATGGAGCTGCTGCAGGTGTCGTCGCTCGTCGACGCGCTGTACTTCATGGGGAAGTGCAACGAGCCCATGGACTCGTGGATCCGGCTCGTGCGCTACCTGGCAAAGAAGAAAGTGCCCGGGTTTCCCGAGCAGGGATACGGCACATACTATAACACGTACGTAAATTCTTATGTGTGTCCCGTGTGTACAACGTTGTATCCTTGCTGACCATCACTAACTACCTTGTCTTCCTTCTGTAGGTACGGCTTTGGAGAGCTCACTCAAGCCATTGCGACATGGCTTCAGACAACGCAACTGGAGCACCTCCTCTCGAGCCCTTTCATCGGGATAACGCTCGATGAGAGCACTGACCGTCGGCGCGGCAAGCACATGATTGTGTTTGCCACGTTTCTCCGCGAAGGCCGAGTTGTCACTGAGTTCGCCGCGCATTTAACGGTTGATAGGGCCAACGCTGCATCTTTGTGCAGTTTGTTGCTTTCCCACCTCAGGGCAGTCGGCGTTGACCTCCGGCGTATCTCGGGAGTGAGCACGGATGGCGCCTCTGTGATGGTGGGGAGTCAAAACGGTGTGGTTGCTCGTCTGCGAATGCTCATCCCCAACCTGGTCTCGTTTCACTGCATCGCTCACAGGTGCGTTTGTGTTTTAACGCCATGTGTAAACGGCAAATCTGTTTGTTTATGAAAAACTAACTGTGCATGTGTGGTTTTGTCTGGCAGGGAGGCCTTGGCTGCCAAGGCCGCAGCGGAGAAGATACCCACCTTCAACATGGTCGACGACGTGATCCGCGCGGTCGCAGAGTACCTCGGGCGATCGGGGCCGTGGCATCAGCGCTTCATGGAGCTCCAGGAGGTGTTCACGTCCACCATCCTCGAGGTCCAAGGCATACACAACGTGCGGTGGCTGTCCAGAGGAGCTGCAGTTGCCCGCTTCGTCCAAGTCCTACCTGCCATCATGGTCATGTTGTCGGAGTGGAAGGACCAGACCATGTACGAACTCGTCACGTCGTACAGGTTCCAATTCCTCATCAGGTTCCTCGCGGACATGCTGGAGCAGCTCAACATCCTCTCCTCAGTTTTTCAGAAGCGAGAAGTAAGTGAATTTGAGGGTGTAGATTGTATTGGTTTAAGTCCGAGACCCATTGTACTAATTCTCTTTGTATGTTTGTGATGCAGCTCGACTACGCGCTGGTGCACACGCAGATTGTGCGCACCACATCGATCCTGGAGGCTCGGTACGTCGACTGTGGAGACGACTTCGGGGGGGGGGGGGCGACCGAGAGGCTCTACCGCTTCATTGAGAAGCACGGTCCGGGAGGGACACCAGAAATGGTGGTGGAAGGAGCATCGTCCGACGGCCGTATGAACCGCTTCAAGGTGAAGCTTCAAGAACGCACAAACCCAAGCTATCGTGGGCCTGGTCATCACCACGCCTGCGTTGCGCTCTGCACCGACATGGCCGAGCTCGTTGTCGAGCAGCTCCAGTCCAAGCTTGGCGACCTTGACTCACTTTCCGGAGTGCGGCTGTTTATTCCAGAGATGTGGCAACCTCACTGGGACCGGGACGCACGGCATGCACAGTGCCTGGAGTGGCTGATGTCGCTTGTCACGTTGTTTCGCGCAGATGAAGCCGACGAGATACTACCTGGTATGGTTTTGTGTCACCCCGCCCCTTTCCCCCTTTGGCTATGGCTCGTTTACTAAACCCGTGTCTCGTTTTGCCTTGCAGGCATTGACAAGAAAAAAGCCGTGAGGGAGCTGCGCACACTGTGTCCGGTCCTTGCCAGAGCCCCCAAGAGCGAGCGCAAGTTCCACACGGGACTTTGTGCGATGCTCAGGACACCCGACTGGCAGCAGGCGTACCCCAACCTGGTCGGACTGTGGGTGGCGATTGCGGTGCTGCCTCTCAGCACGGTCGAGTGCGAGCGCGGTTTCTCCCGACAGAATCTCATCAAAACGTGGCAGAGGGGCAGCATTAAGGACTGTAGGCTGAGTGATCTGCTCTGTATTTCACTCCTAGACTATGAGCTAGATGTGCTAGGAGTAGTAGAGATATGGCGCAGCTACAAGAAGCGCCGGCCGGTCACATCACCTGCTGCAAGGCACAGAGAGGAGCCCTCATGGGCTGGGAAGGAGCCTGTAGACGAGGCAGTAGTAGAACGTGAACGTGTATTAGACTATCAAGAAGAAATGTAAGAAGGTTACTTAGTGTTTTCATTATAACAGGAAAATTGACTGACTCTGTATGTTCAGCGTAGAAATGCAAGTGTAGTCTGAAATCTCAGACTTAAAAAATCAGGTCACTCTGACAGCTAGACTAGGAAGAGCGGTGTACTCTGAGGCCTCAGACTACCTCAAAACGAATCTAGGGGCCTGGTGCACAAGCCCTGTATTTACTATACCTGCAGTTAGCGTGCCTGCGTGCAGAGTCTCTGTAATTGGCGTGCCTGGGTGTGCAAGCCATATATTTTGTGTCCCTGTAGTTAGTGTTTCTGGGTGCAATAGAGTCCCTGTGGTTAGCTTGCTTTTGTGCACAAGCCCTGTTTTTCGAGTCTCTGTAGTTAGCATGCCTGGGTGCACAAGTCCTGTAGATAGTGATCCCTGTAGATAGTGATCCCTGTAGACAGTGATCCCTGTAGATAGTGATCCCTGTAGATAGTGATCCCTGTAGTTAGTGATCCCTGTAGTTAGTGAGCACTGTAGTTAGTGAGCACTGTAGTTAGTGAGCACTGTAGTTAGTGATCCCTGTAGTTAGTGATCCATGTAGTTAGTGAGCACTGTAGTTAGTGAGCACTGTAGTTAGTGATCCCTGTAGTTAGTGATCCCTGTAGTTAGTGATCCCTGTAGTTAGTGATCCCTGTAGTTAGTGATCCCTGTAGTTAGTGATAACTGTAGTTAGTGATCCCTGTAGTTAGTGATCCCTGTAGTTAGTGATCCCTGTAGTTAGTGATCCCTGCAGTTAGTGATCCCTGTAGTTAGTGATCCCTGCAGTTAGTGTGCCCCGAGGCACAATCCCTGTGGTTAGCGTGCCCTACGCGGGGATTTGCTGAGGTGGGTGGGTCACAGGTGGAGGTGTGTTGCAGGGGGAGGAAGGGGAAGGGGCAATGCAAGGAGTCCTACGCAGGGGGAGGGGGATTGGAGGGGGAGGGAGGGGGATACCACACCACACCTGAGAGTGTTTACTAACCTAACCCAGATATCCTATATCCTTTTTAAACTAGTTCAGCTATGTGGTCTTCATCCTCCTGTCTTGGCTTCCACATGGAACTGCTTCGGTTGTCCTGCAAGCAGAGGAGAGGAGGCACGACAGACACAATATGAGCTTCACCACATGGTAAAATGAGATGTGATACGATGTGTGTTTGGGTTGGATGGGGCAGTATTGGGTGGGGACGAGGGTTTGCGCCAGCGAGTGTGGTGCAGAGGAGATGAGGGCACCTACCAATGAACTTGACAAGAAAAAACGGCGCAGCTCACGTGCTATTCTCGTTTGCCCTCACACTCCAGTACTACTGCCACACTGTTACTCCTCCGTGTGCACCAGTTTTGTCGCATCTGAAGGAGGAAACACGAGAGGAAAAGGTATGTGGAAAAGGCACCGGAAGGCATAAAGAAAGAGAGAGGCAGAATTGAAGGCATGTGAAACGTAGAGGAGAGAAGGCGGTACAAAGAGGAGGAAACAGCAGGAAAACGGAATAGAAAGGCTGGCATCAGAACCTCTGGGCAGAGGAGAAGGGGGTTGACTGGGCAGCCTTACCATGAAAAGAGGATGATCCGCCTTGTCTGACTTGGCTGTGCCTGAAGTTCGTCTCATGCCATTACTGCCGTCCATGCCACCACTGCCGTCGATGCCTGAAAATTTGAATGCCAGGAAGGAGGAGCACATGAGAAGGAGCATGAAGAAAAGGAAAGCGAGAGGCAAAGACGTACAGTGCAAAACTATGAAAAGGTGTTGGGGAAGGGATGATGAACGTACCACGGGAAGAGGGCTCAGCTGCTCCGCTCGTGGGTCCTCCTCCATCCCCAAATGAACTGACGGAGCGACAGCTGTATGGAGAAGAGGCGGGTAGTGAGTAAGCGGGAGGAATCAAGCAGAGGTGTTGACCCCCCTTACTCTCCTCGGCAGATGGAAGAAAGCACAGCGCAGGGAAGAGTGGTGCCAGGGAATGAAATGTGGAGTAACGTGAAGGTGTACAGTCATGCAGGGAGGAGTGGGAGGGGAGCAAGCAAGCGAGTAGGCACCGAGGAGTGATTGGGCCGAAGGAAGCAAATGTGGAGATAGAAAGACAGGGGAGAAGTAAGTGGCATGCAGAGCATCAATCGACCAAGTCAGAAGGGATTAGAAGGGTAAGGAAATGTCAGAGGAGACTTACTACATCACAGGAGTAGAGGGTCTTCTCCACCATCTCTGCCCTCCTCTAGTCTGCCCACCCTTGTCTGCTCCCTCTAGTCTGCTCCCCCTTGTCTGCCCCCACTTGTCTGCTCCCTCTGCTCCCTCTTGGAGGCTTCCGAACATCCGAGACAGTGGCAGATCAACAACTCATTTTGAGATGAACAAGCGGCAAGGGAGACGAAGGCAAGTACAGTAGGCAATGGAAACCAAACCGAGCGAAGACGAAAGGAGGAGGACGATAAGAATGAACTGCAAGGGAGATCTTACCACGTCTGCAGAAGCAACCTCTTCTCCTCCTCTGCTTCCTCTCCTCCTCCTCTGCTTCCTCTCCTCCTTCTCTGCTTCCTCTCCTCCTCTGCTTCCTCTTCTCCTCCCCTGCTTCCTCTTTTCCTCCCTTGCTTCCTCTTCTCCTCCTCTGTTTCCTCTCCTTTATCCTCTGCTCCGCTGCTCTCTATTCTTCAAGCTAAAACAAGTAAAGTGATAGATCACAGCCAACAGCCTACGGCCTACAGTCTACACTCCATAAAAGAGCTGCAGTCTACAACATACAGCCTGTGCCATACATAGAGAAACAGCCTACAGCCAACAGCCTTCGGCCTACAGCCTACAGCTAACAGCCTACAGCATGCACTATGTATCACACCAAGAGTTACAGCAGATTAAGTTTATCTTGACAATCCAAATCTTTCCATTCTGCAAGGTTTCATTGCTTCCATTCATTATGCATCAGAGTTAGGCGCTGCCCTGTAGTCAGAGTGGGGTTAGCGTACCTGTAGTTAGACGCTGCCCTGTAGTCAGAGTGGGGTTAGCGTACCTGTAGTTAGGCGCTGCCCTGTAGTCAGAGTGGGGTTAGCGTACCTGTAGTTAGGCGCTGCCCTGTAGTCAGAGTGGGGTTAGCGTACCTGTAGTTAGGCGCTGCCCTGTAGTCAGAGTGGGGTTAGCGTACCTGTAGTTAGGCGCTGCCCTGTAGTCAGAGTGGGGTTAGCGTACCTGTAGTTAGGCGCTGCCCTGTAGTCAGAGTGGGGTTAGCGTACCTGTAGTTAGGCGCTGCCCTGTAGTCAGAGTGGGGTTAGCGTACCTGTAGTTAGGCGCTGCCCTGTAGTCAGAGTGGGGTTAGCGTACCTGTAGTTAGGCGCTGCCCTGTAGTCAGAGTGGGGTTAGCGTACCTGTGGTTAGGCGCTGCCCTGTAGTCAGAGTGGGGCTGCGTGTGAAGCCACACCAGAGTGGAGTGTCGAGCCAGTGAAGCTGCTCACCAGAGTGGAGTGTCGAGCCAGTGAAGCCACACCAGAGTGGAGTGTCGAGCCAGTGAAGCCACACCAGAGTGGAGTGTCAAGCCAGTGAAGCTGCTCACCAGAGTTGAGTGTCGAGCCAGCGAAGCTTCTCACCAAAGTGGAGTGTCGAGCTAGTGAAGCTGCTCACCAGAGTGGAGTGTCGAGCCAGTGAAGCCACACCAGAGTGGAGTGTCGAGCCAGTGAAGCCACACCAGAGTGGAGTGTCGCGCCAGTGAAGCTGCTCACCAGAGTGGAGTGTCGAGCCAGCGAAGCTTCTCACCAGAGTGGAGTGTCGAGCCAGTGAAGCTTCTCACCAGAGTGAGAGAGAAAACCAGTTGTTGGATAAGCCATAACCATGTGGAGTTTCTTTCTTGAAGTGTCAGTTGAAGTACCATTCTGCATGCGCCATCACCCTCACCAGCAGCTCCAGCGCGGTTAGCAGTAGCACCAGCACCAAAGCACCCGCCCACACCATCGCACCATTCCACCCCCATTGAGTTTGCGTTGCTAGAAGGGGATGGGTAGAGGGAAAGGAGATGGGAAGGAGGGGGGGAAGGAGCAGGTAGGGGAGGTGAAAGAGGAAGGGAGAGGAAATAAGAGAGCAAATGCAGGGAACAACGGGACAAAAGGAGTGTTGAAGCAACAACGGATGAATGCATGAATGAGAAACGAGTGCTGGATGGGCCACGCTGTGTCGAGTTTCCCTCTTGGAGTGTCATTTGGAGTGCTGCTCTGCATGCGCCAACGCCACCAGCAGTAGCATCAGCATCATCAGCAGCAGCAACCATTCGCTCCATCGCACCCTTCCACACCCTCTGGGTTTGCGCTGCTGGGATGAGACGCGTAGAGGGAGAGGGGAGGGTACGGAGGGGGCAGGTACGGAGGTGATAGAGGCAGGGAGAGGAAGTGAGTGAGTAAACGCAGGGCGCAACGGGACAGCGACAAATGATGCAATGGCAGGCAAACCTGGAAGAATTCAGAAGTGAAACCAAGGTGGAAGGATGCAATGAAAACAGAGAGGCGATGGTAGCCCATGGCACTAGGTTGGGGAGCTAGCAGGCAACGAAAACGAGACGTGGGCATGAGTGTGAGTGCATTCTAACCCTCTAGGACTCTAGTGTGAGCTCAAGCCGCCCCAGTGCCATGTGCTACCATCGCCACGCGAACGTTTTTAATACCTTCATGCGAAGGCGTCGTTTTGGTTCGAAGCATGCTTGAAAAGAGATGCTGGGCAATTGTGAACACGAATTCCAAGGTAAAGCGGCGGTAAGGATGGCAAGGGTTGAGGAGGGAACTTAGCGGGATTCAAAAGCTGCTCGTCGCCTTGTTACTGTCAGCAGCAGCCCTCCCAGCAGCAACACTCCCAGCAGCAGCACTCAAGGTCGCTAGGCGCGTGAGGGAGCGTCGTGGTCAGCAGGACATGCAGGAGGCACGCACGCCGCTGTGACTGCCTGCCGTGCGTCATCCCACCGCCCTCCCTCCCCGCAACACGCTGCCACAGCCCTGTGCGAGAGGGGGAAAGCTTAGGAGAGAAAAGGGAGCGAGTGGGAGAGGGGAGAGAAGGCAGAAAGCGGCAGGAAATGAAGAAGTTAGTCTAATACAAGCATGGGCGCGATCAAAACTAAACGGAGGCATAATACTGTGAGAGTAAATGCTGGAAGTTAAAGAACAGGTGGCACAGTGAAAGGGTAGGCGATGGTAGCTCATGGCACTAGGTTGGCGAGCTAGCAGGCAACGAAAACGAGACGCGGGCGTGAGTGTAAGTGCATTCTAGCCCCCTAGGACTCTAGTGTGAGCTCAAGCCGCCCCAGTGCCATGTGCTACCATCGCCACGCGAACGTTTTTAGTACCTTCATGCGAAGGCGTAGTTTTGGTTCGAAGCATGCTTGAAAAGAGAGGCTGGGCAATTGTGAACACGAATTACAGGGCAAAGCGGCGGTAAGGATGGCAAGGGTTGAGGAGGGAACTTAGCGGGAAATTAGCCGTGTGACGAGCAGAGGAGTGTTGACGCGGCCAGCAGCAGCCCTTCCAGGCAGCAGTAGTCCAGCAGCTCAGCAGCAGTGGTCAGCAGGGCTAGCCCAGGCCGTGCGTCATCCCACCGCTCGCCTCTCCCGCTCTCCACGCTGCTCCCACTGCTCCTCCCTGCTCCCTGCCGCTGCCGCCCAGTAGATGCGCTGGTGGGGGGATGCAGGCAGGAAGAGAGGAGAAGAGGGAATCAGGTTAAGGGAGCAGAGAGTTGAGGTGAGAAGGCAAGTGACAAGCAGGGGGTACGCAAGTGGCAAAAGCGGAAAACGGCAAGCAAGCATGCAGTGAATGGTGAGCAGAGCGGAACGACAAGTGAGTGGTCGGGGAGGGGTGGGAGGGGAAGGCGCATGGCAACGGTGGACCAAAAGCAGCACGGCAGCGAGATAAGGCAGCGAGGGGGGACTAGGTAAGAAAGAGACGCGAGCATGGCATGAATGCACTGCTACTCTATGCTACACCCTCTCTCTCTCTCTCTCTCTCTCTCTCTCTCTCTCTCTCTCTCTCTCTCTCTCTCTCTCTCTCTCTCAAATGGTCCGTTGTATTAATTCAGCAGGGGTACAGACATGCAGTTCTATCCATGATAACCTCAATCCCATAAGCCCATCAACTCACCCCTCTTCCCCTCCCCTCCCCCCTGAGTGACCGTCTAGCCCTCCAGCGTGTGGAGGATGTCCCCCAGGTGCAGCGGCCAGGGGTCCGCTGCCATCTGGGGGTGTGCTGCCATCTGGGGGTGTGCTGCCTCAATTCCAGCCCTAGCCTTGGTGTGCAGGGCGTTCGCCTGGGAGCGCTAGAGGGCCAGTGACCAGCGCTAGCTGAAGTGGCAGGCCATCTTCTTGGCGGATTTTGCCAAGGGGCTGGCCCTGAAGCGGTTCCTAGCTGCTGCTGTGGCCAGCAGTTTCAGGAACACCGTCGTGGGGGGCGCGTTTGCCCCATAGGTCTCGACGGCCAGGGCGCAGAACACCACGTGTTCAGTGTGTCGGTAGTAGTCCCTCTCCTTCCGCTTCTGTGCCTCCTTTGCAGCCCACCCTGGGGGTTTGCCCTCTTACCAGCCGCGGGCTGCCCGATCGCTCCACCTACCTGACGGCCCGATCGCTCCACCTACTCGGTAAGACGGCCTCCACCTATCTGCGATAGGGCAGACGGCCTCTCCCTGTTTGACCTCACTTCTGGTGCCTCCCCTGCCCCTGCTGCTGATGCTGACGCCACTGTTCGCTCACAGTGGGCCACACGTGACGCTTCTGCTCGCCTTGCTGTGCGCCGCCACTTACCGACCACTGAGCGTGCACACTTTAGCCAGTACAAGAGTGCTCAGACCTTGTACGACGCTGTAGTTGCACGCTACTCTTCCCCTGCCACTGCTGCACTGAGCCGCCTCATACTACCGTACCTCTTCCCTGACCTTGCTGCCTTTCCCACTGTCGCTGACCTCATTACGCACCTCCGCACTAGTGACACTCGCTACCGCGCTGCGCTTCCTGCTGAGTTCTGCGCCAAGAACCCCCCCCCCATGTACATCACCCTCTACTACATAGTCACCCGTCTCCCTGACTCTCTCCGTGTAGTCAGGGACCACTTCCTCTCTGTTTGCCCCACCACTCTCACCGTTGACCTCCTCGAGAAGGCCCTCCTAGCGATAGAGAAGAGCATAGTCGCTGTAGGAGCCTCTCGTGGTGACCCTCGCACCCCCGTCTTTGAGGGGTGTTCTCCCTCCCCCCTCTTGCCCTCTGTTGCCTCTGCTGCTGCGGCCGACCTCGTTGGTTTCGAGTCGGTCGGCGCTCCGTCTGCCCCGAGCGGGAGACGCCGCACCGGCAAGAGCAAGGGGGGCAAGGGCACTGGAGGGGGTGGAGGGGCGGTGGAGGTGGTGGTGGAGGCGGTGGAGGGAGTGGGGGTGGTGGTGGGAGTGGTGCTGGGGGTGGCGGCGGCGGCGGCAGCAGTGGAGGCGGCGGGGGCGGTGGAGGTGGCGGAGGGAGCGGAGGCGGCGGATGTAGTGGAGGAGGCGGAGGTGGAGGAGGCAGCGGAGGCGGCGGAGGCGGCGGCGACGGCAGAGGCAGCGGTGGTGGAGCGAGTCGCGACTCTGCGCCGAGGAGTGGCGCCGGTGGTGGTCAGCGCCAGCAGCAGCAGCGGAGTGGTGTGACCCTGTCCCCTCAGCAGCTTCGTGAGTGGTACACTGCACGCCAGCGCGGTGGGGGTTTTGGTCCCTGCTCTTACGTTCTCCGTACCAGCGACCGCAGTGGTGAGCAGTGCAGAGGTCTGCACTCCACCCAGCGCTGCTTTGGTCGCCTGACGGACGCGTGGCGTCGCCAGTTCCCTGAGGCGCCAGAGATCCCTTGCTGGGGAGATCTGGCTAAGGCCGGGGCTGCTATCTTTGATCTTGACTTTGATGCTATTCTTGCTGCCATGTATGCTGTTGCTGATAGTGTTGAGGGTGCCTGTTACCTGTGTGTACCGCCTGACCCGGGCATTGAGGCTGCTGCGCTAGGTGCTGGTGAGACTGCTGCTCTAGGTGCTAGTGCGTCTGCTGCCCCAGGTGCAAGTGCGTCTGCCGCCCCAGGTGCTGGTGAGTCTGCTCTCTCAGGTACTACGTCGGCTCAGGCCTCCCGCACCTTCACCCTGGACTCGGGTGCGTCCCGCTCCTTCTTTCGAGACCGCACCACTCTTACGCCGCTTAGTCGGCCGGTTGCAGTCTCCCTGGCAGACCCCTCTGGGGGTCCTGTCCTTGCTAGCTTCTCCACTGTCCTTCCGTGCCCTGCAGCCCCCTCTGGCACCCTGTCTGGTCTCTACCTCCCCTCGTTCTCTACGAACTTGGTGAGTGTAGCGGACCTACAGGATCGAGGGGTTGACCAGTTCACTCCTGCGAGTCAGCGAGTGACCCACTGCAGGTGTGCTCGGACAGGCCGACACTTGGCCACATTCACCCGTCGGCTAGGGTCGAGCCTGTACACCCTTACTGCTGATTCTCCTCCTACTGCTGAGTCTGCCCAGGTAGCTGCGTCGAGTCAGGTGTTTGCTGCAGCGTCCAAGTCTGGTCCTGAGTCTGCCCCCTGCTCGTGTCGTCTCCTGTCCCACCAGGCTCTCCTTTGGCACCACCGCCTTGGTCACCCCTCCTTGCCTCGTCTCTGAGGCATGGCTTCCCGTGTCCTTGTCTCTGGTCTTCCTCGGTCTCTCCCTCCCCTTCCTCCGAGGCCTGGCCCTACCTGCGTCCCCTGCGTCGAGGGGCGACAGCCCGCCGCCCCTCACTCCTCCGAGTTTCCTCCGACAGAGGCTCTGCTGCAGACTCTACACATGGACGTGTGGGGCCCAGCCCGCGTCAGAGGGCAGGGGAGAGAGCAATACTTTCTGCTGGTCGTTGACGACTACTCGCGCTACACCACAGTCTTCCCCTTGCGCAGCAAGGGTGACGTCACTGAGGTGTTGATCGACTGGATCCGCGCAGCTCATCTGCAGCTCAGAGAGAGTTTCGGCTCGGACTTTCCTTTTTTGCGTCTGCACTCGGACAGAGGAGGGGAGTTTTCCTCTGCCCGTCTGGGAGCCTTCTGTCGGGCACAGGGCATCCGCCAGACCTTCACGCTTCCGGCCTCTCCACAGCAAAATGGGATTGCTGAGCGTCGCATTGGCATGGTCATGGACGTCGCGCGTACGTCCATGATGCATGCGGCTGCCCCCCATTTTCTGTGGCCGTTTGCGGTTCAGTACGCCGCGCATCAGCTCAACCTTCAGCCCTGGTCTCCTTGCTAGAGACCTCCCCCGCCTTGCGGTGGACAGGGAAGGTTGGCGATGCGTCTGCGTTTCGGGTCTGGGGATCTCGGGCGTTTGTCCGTGACTTGTCTGCGGACAAGCTGTCCCCCCGTGCTGTTCCTTGCGTCTTCCTTGGCTTCCCCCCTGACGCGCCTGGATGGCAGTTTTACCACCCCACCACGCGCCGTGTTCTGTCCTCCCAGGACGTCACCTTTGACGAGTTGGTGCCTTACTACCGTCTCTTCCCCTACCGCACTGCGCCCCTCCCCCCGCCGCCGCTCTTCCTTGCGCCAGGTGCTACCCAAGTAGACCCCCTCCCTCCTCAGGGTCCTGCCCCTTCAGGTGTGTCCCAGGTAGACGCAGTCGAGCTTGTCGAGGTAGCTGTTGACTCTGGTGCTGCTAGAGGTGCTGGGCCTGCGGGTGCCAGGTTTGCGGGTGCTGAGTCTGGGGGTGCTGAGACTGGAGGTGCTGAGCCTGGGGGTGCTGAGCCCGGGGGTGCGGAGCTTGGGGGTGCTGGGTCTGCTCGTGTGGCCGCCGGCGGTACTTCGTCGAGGCGGGAGCCGCTCTCTCCACAGGAGCTGCGATTGTGGTTCGCCCGCCGCTGGAGACGTGCTGCTGAGTCTGGGGGTACTGCTGGAGCTATTGGGGGTGTTGGCGCTGGTGTTTCTACTGGTGCTGGTGCGTCTGGGGGTGCTGTTCAGGCAGCTGGTGCTGACGGTCCTACTGGAGTTGGTGCTGCTGGAGCTGGAGCTGCTGGGGGTGTTGGCGCTTGTGTTTCTACTGGTGCTGGTGCGTCTGGGGGTGCTGCTGAGGCAGCTAGTGCTGACGGTCCTACTGGAGTTGGTGCTGCTGGAGCTGGAGCTGCTGGGGGTGTTGGCGCTGGCGGTGCTGCTGGCGCTGGTGCTTCTGAGGGTACTGGAGTTGGCGCTGTTGGAGCTGGAGGTTCTGCTGGCGCTGGTGCTGCCGCTGGGGGTACTGGTGCCGTACTTGCTGGTTCTGGAGGCGCTGCGCAGCCGAGGCCGTACTTCGTTCCGCTCCTGGAGCACGTTCTTGGTCTCCCACCCTCTACTGGTCCTGCTCCTCCCCTAGAGTGTCCACCGCCTGTCCAGTCGCAGTCACAGTTACCGCCCGCCTCCCCTCTACCTGCTCCTTCTCCCTACACTGGTCTTACTGGAGGTCTTGCTAAGCGTCGTGAGCCTGCGTCTCGTCCCGCGTCACCTGTTCGTGCTGCTCGCACTAGTGGTCGTACTGCACGTCCGCGTCCTCCTGCGGTCCCCGGCACACTCCAGATGGCACTGCGTCCTTCCACTGCTCCTCTACGTGTCCCGTTGCCGTCTCCTCCAAAGTCCTCTCTTCCTTCTCTTGCTGACCCGGAGTCTGACTCCCTTCGTGCTGCTAGTCCTTCGGTCACGCATCTTCTTGCTACTGTCGTCAGTGACCCTTCCTTTGAGTCTGCTACTGCGTCTGCTCTAGTTGCTGAGCTTGTCGACTTGAGGACAGGCAGGAGGAATTTGAGTGCTTTGCTGCTGGTGTACCTCATCTCGTGTCCACGCTGATTGCCCCTGAGGGAGACCCGGATGCACCAGACATCCCTACTCCTCGATCGTACACTCAGGCGATCAAAGGTCCCTACTCCTCTCAGTGGCAGTCGGCCATGGACGCAGAGATGGCTTCCTGGAAGTCCACAGGCAC